AGTATGGTTTCAGAGAATAGGAGAATATTTGTTAATAAAAAACATTCAAAATTTATCTCTGTTTTCTCTTTCTCCAACGCGATTTAGTATAGGGAAATCTACGACGTTAATCAAATAAGGTTAGGTTTTGGGATTTGACTCTGGTGGTAACGGTAGTACTACCTTAATATTCCATAAGCTGTACAAGTATGACAGAGATACTTTCGTTTGTCATAATAGAGTTTGTCATAATAGAGAAAGATGTAAATTTACATTGTTTCTGAACACAAAAAAAGAAAATGAAATAAAAATTTTTTTTAACTTCTCGCTAAGAAAATTGAAAATTTTCAAAAATTGGGAAGTTATTGGTTTCACCCCGATTTTTTTTTTGTAATAAAATTTAGAAAAATTAAAAAATATTCTTTGGTATAAAAAATAAATTCAGTAGTTTTATAAAAAGCTGACAATGATTACGTACTTAAATTATCTTGATTTGGTTGAATGACTCATTGAAAATGAATTAAAAGTAAAGTTATTCAACCGTAGCTAAAAACTTCTGAATGATGCTGTATTATTGCTAAAAAAAAACTAAATATTTTTAGAAAAAAAAAAAAATGAAACTCATTGTATCGATTACATAATTGTAGTTTTTGTTTTAAGATTAAAATTACAACTTATAATGACGTATTGAAATTTAAGAATCAATTATGAAGTCTAGTTGCTTTTTTTTTAGAAAATTGTTCAATAATAATAATAATAAAGTTTTCTAAAATGTTCCCACATTAATTACAAAAGATAAACTCTGTTGATTACTCTAAAAATGGTATCGTATATTATTTAGTAAAAGTTTACAGCATACAATAAAAAGATTTATGTAGGAACATTTTCGTTATTATTTGTAAATATTATTTGAAAACCTCGACTCTTTATGACGATGTATACTTTCGCGTCACCCGATGCATTAAATGGCGCACAGCATGAACAAGAAGTCGCTGTCACGAATCTAATGTGCCTATAACTTGGATAGGAGCAATGTACGCCGGAGTTCTCTTTACTTAAAACTACAGAGCACAGGCTTCCCTCTATAGATACAAGTACCTAGTCATGCACACATAAAACGAGGCAGTACAGGCTTATATTACTACATTGCATTAGCTTCTCTGCCATCCTATCCACCAATATATTCAGCTCCACAACTACTGCGCTCTAAATGCACATCGATATCTGCATCTACTGTACAACTACAGCGGTACTACTATTGCGGTTTTATACTACAAAGCATGACTATAAAAAAACTACTACTATTACTAATAAGGCCATAGTGTTGTATACATTATATTATTATATTATAATTTATAATAGTATACTACAGTAGTAAAGCAAAAGCAAAATGCCTGGAGAAAGTTAATTTCGCGTGGTATGGCCGTTGAACTGATTGCCCGACGTTACGTACAGACAGTTAAGTGTACGTGCATGTCCAGAGGTGCAAGTCGCTAACTAACTTCACAATATTCTCTGTACAATGTACGTGTGTGTACTACAAATACTATCGAGGCAAAAAAAAAACACTAGTTACTTTTTATCGATCGATAAAACAATGACTAGATTGTTAAAGCCAAGCGTAAGATTGAACCAATTGTTTCGCTGTTTTTCTTTAAAATTTATACTATTATTTTATGATAAACAATAAAAACCAATAATTTATTATTTTTGTTATTAAATTAAGCTTCTGTTGTAATATTTAGAAAATAATTCAATAATGCCTCAATAGTTATATTGAAATATAAATTGTACAATAATAACTTTCAGTTTACAAAAGCACGGAAAAAATCTGTAGAAAAAAAGTAAGCAATAATACATGATACTAAAGTTAGCCGACGTTTTCAATTTTTTGATTTTTTTTTTTAATAATTAAATTAGAACAAAAAAATATTTTTAAAAAATTGCACTTACAGTTTTTAAAGTTTTTAACAAATGACAATTTTTTTTTCTTTTTTTTTGTAGTTATTTTTTAAATAAAAAAATTCTTTTTAATTTTTAAATGTCGGCTAACTTAATTTTCATCAATAATACTATAATTTTGATGAAGTGGCGCTACTAGCGCTTTAAAGCATATAGAAATAAAATGAAACCAATATGGCTGCGGCTTCACAGCTGATCCGGTTCAAACTTTAATTTTTTAATTGTAAATGATTTAAAATAATTTAATAATTGACATTATAATAAAAAAATTAAAATGATCCATTGAGCTTTTAAAAAAATATCACTATTAAGGAATTCAATTGAAGCCCGAAGAAATAAAATAGTTTTTTTTTTCATGATAACCTTAAATCACACACCATACTTGCGCGTTGTGACGAGCAATTCTTAATGGAATGTTTAAACTAAAGCTTGTAATAATATTTTAAACTTTCTTTAAATTAAGAGTTATTTGGAGTAAAGTATCTGATAGTTTTAGAAGTATATAATGTCACTATAGTAATAGAAATTAAAAAATTACGCCAACTCAAGTCATCCCTGATTAAGAAATCTAATTTGAAATAATTTAAAAGCATTTGATTTGAATACTATATAGATATACAGATAACACAAAGGTAATCATTTCAAATCATCTTTCAGAATCAGGGATAATACTCATTACTAAAAGGCAAATTATTGAGTAACCTTTTATGAAATTAAAAATACTCTAATAAAGACATAAAAAAGAACTCTGCGTCAGCTGAATTAATAATAAAGTCTAAACACTTTTATATAAATTAACAACTGGAACTTGCTTGATTTCGTCAAAGGAAACGCCTCGTCTGGCATTTAACGAGCTGGGAAATTTTAGCGATGCTTTCCCCGGCTGCATAATTTTATCATGAAAACTTCTTTTAATCCTCTTATCTGAAATAAAAGACCACCGCTGAAAAATAAAGACAAAGAATAAATATAAAAAAAATGTTGTTACGTCTAAAGGAATTAAAGACACGTAAATAATAGGCAGCTTGCCAAACAGCGGAGATACAAGTTTCGCTGGCGTAGCTAAACTAATCTGACGTAACTTGTGGATGTTTAAAAACGTACGTCGAACTCGTATTTTATTTTGAAATTAAGTAATTTAACCACATGTTATTTTGTCTATTTCTGGTTTCTGGTTAGGTGTTGTGCTACTCAACGAAGCGATGGATCGCGCACTTGAGTCTTGACTCCACTTCAAAGATACAATATTAAATAGTGGGTTAATGAATAACACAAGACGCAAAACGTCAGATGTAATGCTTGTAATGAGAACAAAGAGATGTTAAAATATGTGTATATTTATATTTTTAATTAAATATAAAAAAACTCGAGGAATTTTAAAATCGATACGTAACCTTGAGGATACGCAAAAGGATCGTGACCTCCCGACCACATTGTTTACAATCCTACACCGGGTACCCACGATTTATTCCCACCCTCAATTTACTCTACAATAACGGCGAACTAACTATTTTACTTTAAAACTACGTTTCAATTTTTTTCCTTTTTTTTTTTTTAATTATTATTAATAATAAATTAATCTTACTTTGTTAAATTAATCCAAGCGTGTCTGAGTCATCTTTCCATTATGTTAGAGAAGTAATAAATTGTGATTTTTAACGGCAATCATTTAACCTGAAATAGCCAATAATTAATTAGTACAATAAATAAAAACAAATTTTAATAACAACATAAAAAAAAAAGATACTTATTAATCATTAATCATAAGTGATAAACGGTTATGAAATTACATGTATTGAGCATTCACTGGCTGAATGACAAAGTTCGTTTATTTGAAACCAGAACTAACCGGTTGGGATTTTCCTAGGCTGACGATGTGCAATTTTCAGTGTGTGTGTTACATTATAGGATAGAATGTGTTGGAGTTTTCTTAGGTCGCGTGGGCGCGAGAGCCAACTGAGATCACTCACACGTGCTACACTAGCAAGAATAACATAGAAATATTGAATATATTCTTTACATGTGAGAGTGAGGATACCTTTGTATCATATATAATATATTTTACACTGCATGTTCTGTTCATCCGTGTTATATGTGTTGAAATGGATAGAATAGCTGTGGAATAATGAGTGTGTAGTTGTTGAATAGTCTGTGGATGTAGTATGGAGTATTTTAGCACAGCTAGATCAGTGTACGTTGAGAATAAGCTCGAGGGAATTGCAGTACCGGTTTCTAACTGAAAAAAAAAAAAAAAAGACAATGCTCCGACCTTAGCCAATATGGTCAGACAAGATTCTGTATCTCTTTCATCTCGTTCTTTCTTTATACTTAATGTCTCCAATGTTGTTGCCCTCGACGTTTTGCCATTTTGTTTTGTTTTATTTACTGTTCCTGATACTTTTAACAATTTATCCTTCAATTTTTAGACAAGGGCATTTCCTTTGTTTATAATTGATTTCTTCACTTGAAAATTTTTTTAGATTATGCCTGCTTTGAAAATTCTGTTTCTTTTTTCTTTGTTTTCAAATACTTGGATAAAATTTAATTGGATATTTCTCAAATCATTTAAAAAATTTGTTAATAAAATATAATAATGAAGTTAGCCGACATTTTTAGTTTTTTGATTTTTTTTTCAATAATTAAATTAGAACAAAAAAATATTTTTTAAAAATTGCACTTACAGTTTTTCAAGTTTTTTACAAATGACATTTTTTAAAAATTTTTTTATAATAATTTTTTCAATAAAAAAAAAAAAAATTTCTTAAAATTTTCAGATGTCGGCTAACTTTATTGTCATTAATAAAATTATTTTGTAAAGAAAGAAAGTTTTTACTTTGTCAGTAGTTTCTTCATATGAATCAAGAGTCGCCATTTTTTAATCAGATGTCCGCCATTTTGTCAATAGTTGAAATTTCTCTATAATTTTTGCAACAACTGTTTTATTTACCTAATTAATCAATAGTTTTTAATAAAAATTTGATATATTATGTATTTAAATGTAATTTTTATAAAAATATTTTAATGAAATAATTTTTTTATTTTTTCAGAATGCTCTAAAGATGCCATCGCTCCTAGAGGCTCTGGAGTTGAAGTATGGGAGCACGGCTGGAGATTGCTCTGAATGTAGCTTAACAGATGAAGAAACTGAATTATCAGGATCACCAAAAAATGCAGCACTTTCTGTCAGTATATTTATTCCAAAAAAATCACCACGTCACACAGTTCCAGCCTTACTAGTGTTACAAGATTGTGACATTGAGTGTGCTGGTAATGATGCCGAAAAATTACGTAACAAGTGTAAAAATGTCGAAGAGTTGGATTTGGCACAAAACAAATTATCACAGTGGGATGAAGTTTTTGGTATTCTAGAGCACATGCCAAAAATAAAATTTGTTAATTTGAGTTTTAATAGCTTAGCCGAGGCATTGGAAGTTAAACACGCCAGATATGAATCATTGCGTAATCTTGTGCTCAATGGCACGCGAATTTCATGGGCAACTGTTCAGGATCTAGTTAGACTGCTGCTTAATTTGGAAGAATTACATTTGTCGCTTAATGAATTTAAGACTGTTGACTTGGATCACCGTAAGCCTGAGAATATTAATAAATCTGTGAAGAAATTACACTTTACAGGTAATCCAGTTGAAAGTTGGTCGGAAATTTGTAAACTCGGTTACTCATTTTCGAATCTTGAGAGCCTTGTTCTTGCCGAGTGTCCCATTAGATCTCTTGCGCTTGCCGAAGAAAATCGCAATTACGATGAGAGAAGTTCTCCGTGTCAAGCGATTCCGACTTTTGTCGAGCAGTCTAAGGAAGAAGATGAAAACGAAAACGTCCCTTCAGAATTCATGATGGTCCAAGAAAGAGAGCCTCAAGAAAATGGCGAGGTGAGGGTGAAAACTATGCCTGAAAAAATATTTGGAAAAGAAAACTGCACTGCCTACAACAGAAGCGAGAGTGAGTGCGAAAGTGGTAACAAAATTCCATCCTCGCATGATCCATTTAGAATGTTAAGATTTCTTAACGTCAACGGCACATTATTGTCAACTTGGGATGACGTTGAGAGACTTGCGCGGTTTCCTGCTCTCAAATCTCTGAGGATGCAAGGCTGTCCACTCTTTGAGGTAATCATATTATCTTAATGTCCTAAAAATTGAGATGCCAATAATGAGAATATAATCTAAGTAAAGTCAATTAGTTGATCAATTAATTATTTAATTTTTATTTACAGAGTCCTCGAGAGTACACCGAGCACGAGAGAAGGCAGCTGCTGATAGCAAGACTTCCAAATGTAGAAACGCTCAATGGCGGCGGGGTTATATCTTCGCAGGAACGCGAGGACGCTGAGCGAGCATTTATTCGGTACTACATGGACAAACCGGAAGCGGATAGGCCTGAAAGGTTTTTATCAATTGTCATTATTAAAAGCAGAGGCCATGATTCGTAATTAATGGGTGTTTTTTTTAATTGAATCGTTTCAAGGTACGCTGAGCTTGTTGGTATTCATGGAAAATTAGATCCGCTGGTCAGTGTTGACCTCACGCCAGAAAAACGTGTCAAAGTTAAGTTTACCTATGGGGATCTCGTTGAGGTAAATTATTTGATTTATTTAGGATAATTAACTTTACAAGAAATCGAATTATGTTAAGTATGTTGAATGTTTCAGGTGCGATGTGTAGATGTCTATAGAACTGTTTTTGAGCTAAAAACAAAACTAGAGTCGATGGTTAAAATTTCTGCCAATAGAATGAGACTTTTTTATGTTGACCAGGTAAAATGTATTCTAGATTAATAATTATAAAGCTTAATTTTTTATTTTGATAATGAAAAAAAAAAAAAAATTGAGCTTGAAGCAAAATCCTCACAATCTGACTGCTGATGGTTTAAGTAATTAAAAATCTATAAATGTGTAAAAAGCTAGAATATTTATAGTTTAATTAACGTTATTACTTTTTTATTTTTGGATGTTTTTATTGACCAAAGTAATCAATCAGAATTAAAATTTAAAAACCGATAATTAATGATATAATTTAATTACTAGGTTATGAAAACTCAGTACGGTCCAGAGGAAATGCTGTACCCCAATAAACAGCTGTACCGATACAACATTAGAAATGGAGATGAAATAATTATAGACAGCAAGCTGAACCGCTTTGTGTCTTCATCTTCAAGCACATCCTCTATACGATCTTAAGATGAATAAAAACAAATAAACCAACAGCTGGATAAACTCAACTAAAATGTTCTGTCGTAATGAACATTATTTTTATCAACTGCTGCGATTGCGATCGTACTTGCTGTGAAAAGCATAGCCGTTATTCTCTCTAGTGGATGTTTCGGAGCTCGACAATGATATAACCAGATGATGATAATGACGATTATGACGGTGGTGATAGCGATAATAAAAAATGTCAAAGCCAATAGTTTAGGACTGTAGAAATTTTCAAGTGTTACGTTGGCTACCGTATTTGTTACTCTGATATCGTTGCTCGTTTATTAATGAAAATCGCATCAGCCCTATATAAATATAAATACTATATATATATATATATTATACATAATATAACAATAATATAATAACTGATACAAATTAAAGTTTTACTCGTGTACGAAACAAAAGATTTTGTTGAACCTGTTCTCGAGTTTAGAATCATTATAACATTAATATTTAATATAATAGTATAATAACATGATAGTATTCTAATTCTCGACTGTCAATATATTATCATATTGATTAATCAAAGTATATAAAACTATTTTTGTATAATAACGATAAAAGCCATCCCACTAGACGTTATCACTCTAATTATAATCGAGAATTGGCTATCATTTTATAAACTCGAGAGAGCTGAAGAAAAAAAAAATAATAATTTGTCTATCAATGTGTTAACGTTTCTTTTTAACTGTGGAATTGCAACCAGTTTATACCAATACATATTTGTAATTATAATCTGTTGCGTGTCCACGTGATTCCACTGGCTGTGACAAGTTTATTTAGTCAAATTGATTATAATAATCGCCGCCGCCAACAACGAATGTAATAACGTTTCATTATTGTTATTATTTTATATTTTTATTTTATTTAGAATCGATCAGTGTCGTAGGTCGTCTGGATATTACACATATAAAAAAAAGTGTGTTAAACCGTTGTGTTCATTTAATTAAATCGCTTTCACGTGTTCCACCACCAGGTACTGCCAACAAATTAATAACCACAGAAAATTAATATTAAAATAAAAATGAATAAAACATATTGATAAAACAAAAAAGCTATCACGATTCAAACAAAGAAAGCAGTTTTATGTTTTAATAAAATCTATCAAGACAATAGACTTTTATTGTAAATACCAACGTATACAATTACTACTTTTTGTGCCTATCTCATTATTATTCAGACGCACCGCAACGCTGCCCTGTAAATATAGTCGTCAGCCAATTTTATTTCTTTTTTCAACTGAGCACAATCCAACAAAAGTAAACAGAGATGTTTCTTCTTCTTTTTTTTTTTTTTTTTTTTTAACTCGGAAGCAATCATACTCAAAATTTAAAATTTAATTGTCTACTAATCTTTTATGGACTACTTGATGGATTATCTACGTAGATAATATTGATGATGATTATTAAATAGAAAGTAAAAGAAGACAAATATGGTGGTTTGAAGAAATAAAAGACGGGAAGCCTTGCTTCCACGTCTAGTGTTACAAAATTATTGGATGAATTAAACCATTTTTTTTTTTTTTGTGCTGGCGCAAATATGTACGTACTAACAGATTAATAATTTGTAAGAATAAATATTTAACCTTATACAATAATAATTATCATTGTCATTATTCATTATAAATCACTAGTTTTGATGTTAATTTAATTTTTAGCCCTATTTTATAAACAATTATTAAAATCAATATTTTTCAATTTATATTTTACTAGATAAATGAACAACTTGATACTTTTTAATAAATGTTAAGCAATATTTACCTCCAATAAATAATAAATATTAAAAATACAAATATTGATTTTAAAAATTGTTAAAGTAAGTATGACTAAAAAATAAATGATTATAAAAACTGGTAATAATATTATAATTTTAATAAATATTCAGGGCATCCAGGTGTACTGAAGTGTACGGGTGTTCTCTTACGTAATAGACGTATGTTGTCACATAGGCGATGGTTTAGAGTACGGTATAACATTATCATCACCCCTTGAAAAATACCACGAGCTTGGAGCTGCGAGGGTAAGTATATCCGGATCGATTGTCAAGCTTCATCCACTGGCGCCACATTCGAGCTCACGGCTGATAAAATGTCCAATATAGAACAACGTCGTGTTGGTTTAGCTTGCGCGTCGACTCCATGACCAACCACCCTACACTCATTCTATATACACATACATATATATATATATATCTACAAAAATCTACATATATCTATGTACATGCTTTACTACACCCTCGCTTTACTTTTTTCAGTCGCGTACGAGCAGCGTGCGAGAGTGCCGTGTGCGGAGTTACCACCAAGGGTGCTCGCGCGTCGTTTAGTCGGAGGAAAGTGCTGATGCCCAAGTGCCTGACGATGAGTCTCTGGTCCTCGTAAAAATGTAAATAGAGTGGTTGTGTGAGGGGAGTGGGGCCTGGGGCTTGTATACTCTCTTTTTTTAAAATTCACCGATAACATTACATCATTATCATCATCATTGTTGATTATAACATTGATAGTAGCTTTAATTACTAACGATACCAGCGTAATTTTTTATTCAAATGGTATAATTATTTATAAATAAACGGCATTGATTGTCGTTGATAATACTCAAATTTATTTGTAACAACTGAAGCTAATTGGAGATCAGACTCGCCTGCCTAGTTACAGACTAGAGCTATTTAATTCTCATTCCTCAAGCCGATGAGGAACATTAAATTACTATTATCATTGCTATTACTGGATCAAATTTCATTCTGATTGAAGAGAAATTCTTAAAAAAGACAGACTGAGTCTGGGACAACTATTAGGGCGAGCCGTGTGTCGTTTGTCGATGCACACATTACATGGAAGGCATGGAATAGTCGATCGATTTAAAGTGCACCAGGAAGGGAGAATTAACGAGGGTAAGTTTCATCTCTATTCACCAATTTTTTTTTTAATCTATTTATTTTTATTTTATTCAATCATTTATTATAAATTTTTTTTAGTTTTATTTATCCGATAAAAAAGTGCGTTGATTAGTACCAAGTACTTTGCATGAAGGATTGTTTCTTGGATTTGGATTGTCAAGTAGTCCTTCTGTACTTATTCGTACAAGGACTCTCAAAGGAATATGTATACTTGGGATGAGTAGAATGAGCAGGCGCGAATGCTGACCAAGGTATCACAACAGAATGTTTCCTCGCGTGTGAACCTCTTGATGTCACGCTTACACGGTACGGGGTGTATTTTAAGTCTGGTATGGCTGGCACGAGAAGTTGATACCGTTCCATTCTTCTAGAAGGCATCTGTTATCCTTGATGATTAACGAGCTACGGTAAAACTCCCGAGGATTTTTTAAGAATTTTATTCTCGTCTGAGTCGGTATTAAACTATCTGGTTTTGTTTGCTTTGATTTATTCTATTTATAGAGGCGATTCGTAATAACACCTTCACGCCGGATTCAGTTATAATTTTAGCGATCGATTACACTACAATACTCCAGTTGGATATGGAGATGTAGTTGTCGACGTCGACGTCGTCGTCGTGGTTGACTGACCTCATTTACACTTCGGTCAGGTCATGACGATCGACGTCACGAGCCAGGATTCAGGTCGACTGGAGGCTATTTCCTATATATGCCTCGGACGTTCTGTTTCTGTACCTCTTCTTCTTGAATAAATTCATTGATTTTTGTTTTATTTATTCTCTACTCTTCACTCTTCTCGCACTTTTACTTTTTTTAATAATGTTATTTATAATTTTTAAAATTTAACTCGAGATATTTCAAGGATAATTAATGCTATTACAATCTCGAGAGATCACTTTGATTATAATATACCTACCTCACTTTATATGCATATATTTGTAAATGATTTATGAATTTTAATGATATCATTTTATAATTTAATATCATCCCCTTTAATGACTTTTTATTATTTATTATTTCATTATAGGGTTAAATTAAATTTATTGATTGTAAATTATTGCAAAATTGTTCTTATATCAGTTTAATCATTTTCATTAATTTTTTAAAAATTTTATTCACTAATTTAAAATTAATTTTTCTTTTTTTATAAAATAATTTAGTCTAAAAATATTTTTTCTGTTGAATTTTGGAAAATATTTATTATTAAATTTTATGTAAAATATTAAAAAATTATTAATTATAGTTTTGCATAAAAATATTTTTTTAATAAATTAAAAAAAAATATAAAATTTTTATCAAAAAAATTCATAGCGATCGTTAAAGAAAATTTAATTACATAAATTTAAAAATATTAATTTGTATGAATAATGAAAAAATCGTAACTTAAATTATCCGAGAATCTCGATTCTTTTTTTATGCCATGCCTCGAAAATAAAAGTAAATGAATGGATTAAAAATGAATTGTTTTGTCGGATAGCAGGTAACAATTTAAATATGGTCTACTAGTTGTTCAATTGTCTCGAACAAAGCTATTGACTTTAAATTTAAACTCTATTGTCCTATTGAATTTCTCTGCTATGTTCATGCAAAACTATTTGGAACTAACGGCACAATAAAAAAGATATACATGCTTCCAAAAGGCTCATCAACATCCGAAAAAACTTTTCAATAGAATTTAAAAAATAAATCTTTAAAACTAATATCAACAATCTAAATAACGTTTTAATTTATAGTAAATTTTTTTCTCAGTATTGATCCCCAGATTTTATCAATAAATTAAAGTTCTCGGACAAGCAAAATAAATTTTGCTGGCCAACGACACGGTAAACAGAAAATACATTAGATTATGAGATTTCTAAAGTCCAATATTTTTTTATTACTTTTCGGGGTAAAGTTTATATAATTTAAAACTCGGCTCGGAGTAGAAAGGAAGATTATTGACGTTGAGTTGTTCCGTACCTGTAACAAAGTGCTCCGCGACCTTTCGGTAACTTTTTATTGCTTTGTATGACCTTTCTTGTAAATTCTCTTAAAAGTTTGATAATCAAAAAATCCAAGAAAAGATAAATCTCAAGGTCTTTTATTCTCAAGTTCTGTTCGGTCAGGTCCTGTATATTTTCAATGCAAATATTATCTGTAAACTCAACCGGAACAATTCAAATTGTCAGACTTAGATGTAGATGTATTTTTTTCCTATTTCCGATCACAAACGAGGTCAATAGATTTTTTTTACCTACACTGTCTGTAGTATACAATCGATCTCCATATGTCGATAACATTGACAATTTCACTCCAGAATCAATATCGGTAATTTCAAAATCAGACGTAATAATTATACAATATAAATTGACACTGAAGTTAGCAGACGTCTAAAAATTTTTTATTTTTTTTTATTAATTAAATTACAACTAAAAAAATATTTCTAAAAAATTGCACTTATAGTTTTTCAAGTTTTTTACATTTGAAATTTTTTTTTTTAATTGTTTAATTGAAATTTTTTCAATAAAAAATTTTGAAATGTCGGCTAACTTCATTTTCATAATATAAATTACTGGGTAAAAAATTTTTTAAAACCAACAAAAAATTTTTATAAAAAACATTTCTTCCCAAGTAAATTGACTTTTTTTATATTTATTTGCGTACTGATGAAAAATTTTTTCGTCACCAACCAACTAAGCAAATTTATTCAAAGTTTTTACTTCATAATTTATTACATTAAATTAAAGTATTGTGATCATCAATTTTTTAATTGAATAATAAAGAATCCTTCTATCAATGTCCATAAAAAGCTAAAACTTCCCGATTCATTGCTTTACTTAATAATAAGTTAATTACTTGAGATTTAATTAATGATTAAACTTACCCTTATTTCCTCTTTTTTTATTAAAACTCTGACTATCTTCGGGGATCAGTAATCAAGAGTTTTCACGTTACTCTGAGCACTTATTTTTATTTCTTCATTCTTTTATTCTCATTTCTTTTTCAATTTTTTCCTATCATTATTATTATTATTATTATAGCTTCCTATTCAATTAAACCATTTCATATTTTTTTTTTATTTTCAGACGTGAAAATAAATTCTCTCCGCTTCCATATTCCCAGGGTTAGCTGCATAACCGAGCTTTTATATCACGGCACGATACTCTGAGCAATGTAAATATATATATATATATATATATATATATAAGCTTCAGAGGCCATATAATAAAATATTCAAAAAATGAGATGAAATAATAGCAGCCGTGCGTCTTAATTTCTGTTAAACATTTCCGTTCAGGTTGATCAAATATTTTTCGTTCTTACCATAATATCTACGTAAATATATACTTGCCTCTATTAATAGAAAATACAAGTTCGACTGTTTAGTGTACAAGAAATTTAAAACGAAAGTGGTGCAAGTTTGAGTAGTCAGCCGTCAGTTAACGTATCACGAACTTAACTTATACTTCAACATAATAACTTGAAAGATAAACGTGAGAAAATTGAAATACCTTGGTACTTAATTGTTGAAGCTTTTTATTATCTAATACTTAAGTCGCTATTCTTCTCTTTGTTTGGTTGTAATTGTTTCGAGTTTTATCTTACTGACTCGAGTGTTATGTTGAGCTTTTCAATGCTCGTCTGCAAGAATATTTTGAGTAACAAAGCAGATTTTTTTTTTTTTTCATAAAACAATAGTGTCTCAAGTTTCAGTGTTATTTTTAATAAGAGCTTGCGAGGATGCTATTAATTAAAACTAACGGGTCAGGATTACTTTTTTAGTGAGAAAAGTTCATGTTCCTAGTGCTCTATTCTCGAGTTTTTAATAGTTGTCTACTGGAAGGTATTGCAGGTTATATTTTACCGTAAAAATTATTTCGAGCTGGGAATCCCAGAAAACGCTCTTTAAATTTTCTTCATGTTTTACACTGGAAAATATAGTTTTACTCTAAGCTGAGGTGAATTTTATGATGTTTCGTACGTGACATCTGACGGTTCTTTAAATTGAATTTAACACTGAGAGGAAATATTGCGAAAAATCGGGTGTGAAGGACTTGTAAGAAGTCTCATAGGCACTTTTTTATTAAAAATATTTTTTAAATTATAATATATTAACAATATCAGAGAAATAATTAAATTATATATTATAAAGATAAAGAAAGAAAAAAAAATGACACTGAAGTTAGAAGACGTGTAAAAATTTTTGATTTTTTTTTATAAATTAAATTACAACTAAAAAGATATTTCTAAAAAATTGCACTTATAGTTTTTCAAGTTTTTTACATGTGACAATTTTTTTTTTAATTGTTTAATTTAAATTTTTTCAATCAAAAATTTCTAAAAATTTTTAAATGTCAGCTAACTTGATTTTCATAAAAAAAAGTATAAAAAATTTTCCAAAAATTATCTTTAAATTAAAATTTTTAAGGTGAAGAAATCTAAAATTTTCATAATTTTTTTGTGACATTCAATTTTTATTCTTTTAAACAATAATAACATTTTAACACAAATCAATTTTTTTAATTATGACTCAAAATTTATAATAATACAAGTTTCAAAACGTCAAAATTGCGTAAAAAATAAAAAAAGTTAGTTATATTCTTTAGCGGACCATAAATTTAAAACAAACAGCAGATTGTTTTTATAGAAATAAGTAGTTGAGGTAAATAGTGTTTTTACTGATGAGTAATTAGAATAAAATGACCTTCTGATGTAATAACACTCCAAGTGCTAATGGCGATGCTTTTAAAACTCTCTTGTAATTATCGAGAGTCTAGTCTAGTATCGATTGTCATTCAAGTAGCTTAAAATTATTTTCAAACGTCTGGTTTTCTTCTTTCATTTCTTATTCATTCAGTTTATTAATTTTTTTAACTGGTAGACAGTTTAAAATTTTATTTTTTGGTAGTATTATTTGAGTTTAGTAGAAAATAGTTAAAATTAATAACCATCAAACGTAATTAAATGTTATTCATTGAATAAATTGTTTTTATTGCAAAAATGAAGACTACATTTAAATTTGTTCTGTCGAGTAGAATTAATAATCAAAGTTTATAAAATATTTAACCTTGATATACAAATATAAAACACGATAAAAAGTAAAGTTAAGTAGAAAGTTAAAAAATTTTAATTAAAAGTTCTTATAGAAAACGACAAAATAATTAATTACATATTTACTTTTAATTGGAATTTAACCAACGTGTTATTTAATTTTTTAAGTTAAGTTATTCCGGAACGTAATTCATAAGATTTCGCATGAATTGTTAAAGCTATATTGCGTAATAATAGAATAGAAGGATTCTCCAGAAGATTAGTTTCGCGACAATAATGAAGGGAAGAAAATGAAAATTAAATTAATTAAAAAATTATTTTTATTAAATAAAAATGATTGTTTGCATGAAGTTTATAAAATATACGGTTAAATAACTACGACATTAAAGTCAGCAGTCATTAGAGAATTTTTCGATTTTTTTTAACAAAAAAATTTGTTTCAAAAAATTATTTTTAAAAAAATGCATTTTTAATTTGTTCATGTCAATTTTTTTTATATTTTTTTTTGCTTTAATTTATTTGTAAAAAAAATTCTAAAAATGATAAAATATCTGCTAAATTTATCATCATTAAATAACTTGAAATGATTGACTGAATTTTTTTATTATTATAGATTAATAAAAGTGAGAAGTTGAGAATGGCGTCAAGATTGCCGTCAAGCAGCCACCAGAGGAAGCTGGGACCGGCGCCGATTGCATCCTTCGAGGATTTGTCCGACGAAGTGGAAAACGTGAGTTAATGCTACAAAAAATCACACAAAAACGTTCGAGAATCTCCACCGGCAATCACTTCTGGTACTCGTCTTCTAAAAATTCCTCTAAAATGATGATGTAGATGCAATCGGACAGATAGAAAATAATAAATATATATAAAAAAACAAATAAAAAAACGTATATTATAACACACAAAAGTCTGAGAGACAAGTATATCACACATATAATACTAAAAATCTATTTCGTCAGGCACCGTTTCGATAATCATCAATAGTCCAAGGATTTGAGTCAAAAGTTTTATAAAAATCAATAAATTGTTATAAAAAATCAAATAGTTAATCTGTAAAGATTACGCAGGGAAAAATTAAAAATAAAAAGGGAGTTTGTGCCTGGGAAATCCAATGTCCAATTGAGGAATGACACTTTAAATTGTAATGCAGGGAGAAACGACAACAGCGAGAATGCCGGGGATTGTTGAGGTGACGACCCCCATAACACCTGGTAGCTCACTCAAGACTCCCAGCACACCCAGGATCGACATCAGTAGGGCCAGCAGTTCATCCCATCATGAGGACAGTAACAACTCCAGAGAATCTTCTCCCGAGAGAGAATTACTGGCAGGTCAGTTTGTACAAACTCCTCACTGCTTACAATTACTAAGAAAACTTTTTAATTATTGGGAGTACTGAGACAAGCAACGGCAATTACGGTTACTTAAGCTCCGAATTAAATAACTTTTGACTTTAAAGTTCACGGCTCGGAGTTAATACCAAAAAGAATTTCAAGTAGAAGTCGACGTTTTGTGATTTAGAGTAAAATATATACGTATTTTTCGATCAATTATGCAGGTTTAAAAATAAGTTACTTTCTTGTTTTATTTTAAAGTTATTTTACTATGCAAATCACTGAATCGATTTAGGGTTTTAATATTTTACAAAATTTTTATTTAAGTCGTATTTTAATATTAATGGGAATTCTTTAGTTGTTGACAAATAGAATTTTATAGTTTTGTTACTTTAGTTATTTTTAGTTTAACTTGTTTATTCCTAAAACTCCATTATAAATATCAAAAAATTGAATTTTATATTATGTTTTGAAAATATAATATTGAGAAAGTATACTGTTAAGAGGAAAATCATAAAAATATTAAATATATTGTCGGAGTATTTTACATATTCGAGAGCATCGGAGCCCTAATTATTTATCGCAAAAACTTTAAACGCAGTTTTCTCAAAACTACACTAAAAAAAATATTAACTTGAATCAAGAGAAAAATTCTTGAATTAAGTAAAATTTACTTTAACAAAGAAAATTTTCTTAGTCTAAGAATTTTTCGACTCAAATCAAGAAAATTAAGTTTTTAGAAAATTATTTACTTGATTCGGTGACACGACAAAATCTCCCCACTACACAAAATAATATTGATTATTCCATTGATTTACATTAGTTGATAATGTAGAATTTCAAATAAAATATTGTCAAGTTTTCTTTATCTTGAATTAAATTATCTTGACTCCGTGAACTAACAAGACTATAGTGATGAAAATAGTTGCCGAAATGGGGTGAAAAAAAATTTTTCGATCGTAAAGCACTCTCTGATGTTTCGCATCATGAGTCGTGCAATAAAATAATTATAATATTATTATCCGCGTTTGAGTTAGTCTAATGTCGAATAAACACACACAAAAACCATGTTAAAAGGGCGCAACACGGTCACAAGCAAAGGTAATAAAATAATCATAAAATATTTAAATTATAATAAATTTTTAAAATTAGTTAAGAGAGATTTTCTCAGTGAGATTTTGTCGTTGGGAGATTATCTCGGGGAGATTTTGTCTTGGGGAGATTATGTCGGGGAGATTTTGTCTTGGGGAGATTTTGTCGTGGGGAGATTTTGTCCGGGGAGATTTCGTGGTGCAACCCTTGATTCAAATCAATTTTTTTTCTGTGTATTTTCAAAAACTGCTCGAGCTGTAACTCTAAAAGTTATTGATTGATTTGGCTAAAATTTTTTATGAACATAAATGAACAAGTTTTTTGCGATGAAAAATTTCGAACAAAATAATGCAAAATTTGAATTTTTTTTATGAGCTTACTTATTTTTTAAAGTTATTTGATTTATTATTTTAAAAGCTTATCTTTTTCATGCATGTGTCAGAACTATAAAACTTTTTTTCACATCAATAAAAAAAGAGTGAGAAGTGCAACACTTTTAGAGCTTGCGCCAGACTAGTCCGAAAAAAAATTTCACTGAGTCGCAATTTTGTAAAAAAACAAATCATTTTTTAACTCTTCAAAGTTCAAATAAAATAATGTGAAAATTTCAAAATTATATGATTATTATTTTATTATCTATAAAGTTATTTATGACAAATGATTCATTTTGAGCTGTCTGAAAGGGTTTTTCTCTTCAATCTTAAATTCATAAATTTATGTTATATAAAATTATTAAAAATAATGACAAATTTTTCTGTTTAGGTGCAGAACCACCAGCTGGAACAACTTTATCATTAGGTTACAAAGAGGATGCTCAGGATTTGCGATCATCAACAGAAGAGCTGGACTTGCAGGATCCAATTCACGTCCAAGATCTCAAAAGAGACTCAAAGCGAGCGCGAAGGAAAAAGGAGGACGGCACTCAATCAGAATGTGGGATGAGTCTGAAACAGGAGCGCGAGCGTAAAGATAGTAATTGTTCAGAAATTATTTTACTTAATATAAGTGGTAGAACATCACGGTTGTCTTCCGTTGGGAGTCAAGGCTCCGGAGTATCCGGGAGACTCTCAGTTGTCTCTGCTACTTCTTCCAGGTAATTAAAAAATAAAAAAACTGAATTAACGGTGTATTTCTGTACATTATATAAATTGTAAATAACGAATGACAATGTTATATTTAGATCACCAAGTCCCCACAAGTGTCTCCTGGAGACCTCGTTCTGCGGCAGCAAGCCCACTTTAGCAGAAACATCGATGGAAACTTCAAAACCGGAGACAGAAGACTTGGAGATAATGTTGCTTAAGCGCGAGGCTGACACAACAAAAGCCCTTATTCCGGAGAGCATAAAGGTGCCAATGGTGGGTGGGAATCTGAAGCCTGATCCCCTGGATAAGCCTCGGAGACGTGGGTATGAAGAGAGGAAAGAAATATTTAAACGCGAAGTTGAGATCACGAAGCGAGTCTTGGAAAAGGTCAACATCGAGGTATTTATTTTATTTTCGTTTTATTGTCAAACTTTTTTTTTATTATTTAGCATTTATATTAAAACGATAATTGCGTTGTCAAAAATAAAAAAAAAAAAAGTAATAAACGAAGATTCATAAATTTGAATATTAATCAACGAATGTTCACTTCATATATCATCCATGTAGTCTTCACTTAAATTGTCTAGTTAATTACCTACTGCCTTGATCAATACAGTAGATCACATATGAGTTTTTTTAATTATATTTGTAGATGTGATGAGGGAGTATTCGTCTATCTTCGTTAAAATTTGAGGTTTGTAGAATTAACAGCAACAGAAAATGAAACAAAAAACATTACGTTGAAACAATTAACTGCGTTTGTTTGTACATTTTTTATTTGCAATTGTTGTTTGCTGTTTTATTTTATTTATTCCAAGTTTTCCCCGATTTCTCAGCACGTTATTATTATTATTATTATTATTATTTTATTTTTTTTATACTGGTTATTACCTGGTATAACTGCGCAAATGATTCTGAAAAGTTTAATTATTGTCCTGTTGGTTCCCCGTCATTCGTTCGTTTGGTTGAAAAAAGATTAAATAAACAGATGAATAAACAAACATAAATAGAATTTAAAAAAAAAAATACCATAAAGTAGGATGAAAGGAAAGATTTAATTAAAAAAGTTTTTGTTTTTATAGGTTCCAATTATCAGAAAACCGCCGAAAGTTGAGGAGCGAGATATCAAAGCTAACGCGGAGGTACAAAAACCTGTCACGTTGGATTTTAATGACAAACGAAAAAAAGCTCAAAATTTTAAGGACGTTGTACAGACGACACCCAGCATCGGAAGTCTCAGTGGAAGCCCAAAATTACCGCGGCATCAGAAAGTTAGGGAACTTGAGGGCTCAAGAACTCCTAGTCCTTCTTCAGTCTCCAGGAAAAGTAGTTTTGCGTCTTTATTCAAAGTAAGTTTTTGTTTGCGGGTTCTTTCATTATTTATCGTATTTTTTGTTAGAAACATTTATAAGGCACTCGTGAGTAAAATAGAAGCTGATTGCATATATATTCCTTTACAGTTCATGAAATTTTTAAATATATATATATGAAAACTTTTAAAGTCATTTTTTAACTTTTCTGAGTTTGTCATATTAATAATAATAATTACACCAGTTGTTGAAAAATAAATAAAAAAAAAAATAATAATCTCAATTGAAATAGTTATTTTAGTTGAAAAACTTGTATTAAATTTTTACTCACTCTCTTTTCCCTCAAAATTTCTATCTACTAAATTTGTTTTAGGCTCGGGCAGAAGTTACAGCACTGAGTCCAGAGTCTCCATCACCAACGCCCTGCACAAAGTCCCGACGAAGTTTGACGTCAAAGATAAAAGACACGACAGAAAGTTTAAGAAGTAGATCAAAATCTCGTGAACGCGGGTCAGTCGACAGAGGAAGTACGAAGAACAAAAATGTCTTCACATCAACGCTAAGTATCTTTAAAAAACGTGAGCGAAAAAAGAGCATCCAGTATTCTGGAGGTAGCACTCCAGACCACGAGCTGATGGGTCACCCGTCACTGGAGAGTATCGGGAACGTCGAGTTCAGATTCGATGGAGATCGGCCAAGTCGAAACGAAGACTCGATTTTCATAAGCCTGCATGCCGACTCGAGGAACTATGAAGAAGCTTTGCCGTCAGAGAGTGTGTCTATACCCATCGAGACACCGACTAAGCTACTGGATGAATACGAAAATGAACCTAGAACCGGGAGTATCGTAACTGAAGCTTCGATCGAGCACCGGGGCTCCGGAACACGGATAAGAACCGAGGCGATGATCGAGTCAACCGGTCGAGAACTCCAGAGTCCTTTGAGACCCAGCGCCTCCAAAGAATCTCAGTTGTCCAAGACCTCGTCAAAGGACTCGAGAATCAGTATCCAGACGGCGAAGCACATCGAGGTGCCATCGAGACCCGGGTCTACGGATCCCACGAAAAATGAGTCTGTCAGTGTTTCTAGCAGAGATTCCGTCGAAAGTAAAACTATTGTAAAGCCCAAGAGAAAAAGCAAAGAGAATACGCCGAGAGTCGAAAGTCAATCAAAACCTGAGGTGGAAAGTAAATCAAACACAAACAGTGGAAAAAGTCCATCAAGGACAGACAGTTTGCCGAGAAATCAAGAAAGTAAATTAAGAGTTTCAGATCTCGAGAGTGAGAGTGATAAAAATAAAGTTAACGGAGGCGAGAGCTCTGATAAATCCTCACCGTCAACTCAAAGATTATCCGAAAGTCTAGCAGTTAAGTCTCAAGACGGATTGGTCAAGACGCCGAGTGTGGTTTCCGATTTAGATCACAACAGCTCCGAGTCCGAACGAGATTCTGAGATTGACTTTGTGAGGAACAAAGTTGTGAAAGTCGTCAGCGAGGAGTTGCCTGATGAAAGAAAGGGATTGTTCAATGAGGAAAGCTTCGAGGAGGATCTTCCTTACGTGCCAACGACACTACCGATGGAGAAGAGCGTCGCGGTACCGATCCTCCCGGTGAAGCAGCGGCTCCAGGAAGTTAGGACGATCCCGATCGAGCGACCCAGGTCCACGACGCCAATAAATCCAACTCTGCTCGACGAGTTCGTTATGCAGACCTCTCACGACGAGAAGCGTGCTGATAAAATGAAAATTTCGCTGCCTCGGGAGGACAGTTTCAAGCTGAAGAGTCCGAGGAAGCACTCAATCAACACATTCTCGGAGTTTGCTGAGCGAGTGGTGCCTGATGCTGTGAAAAAAACTGCCGGGAAATCTCCGAGTCCGCCGCCTCCACTACCTCCCAGGGCTCCTGCCCCTCGCCCGACGAACTGGGTGAATTTTGAAGAGATTCCCGAGCGTAGGAAAGCTCCCAAGAGGATTCAAACGATTCCACGTCCTGAAGAGGACATCAAAGCCGGTTATAGCTACGTTCAGCCGGAAGAGTGTCGCTGCGAGTGTCACGAAGAATCGAGACGTGCTTCCCACAGAGAACCTGCTCCAGGTTCCAACGCTGTTGCTGCTGCCACTAGCAGCGTTACAACTTCTTCGTCGGCATCTGTCGCGCGAACTTCGTCGACCTGCAGCAGCAGCAATGGCGAGCGTGCTTGCAACGGCGACAATTGTACAGTGCCAACGAGCTCCGGGGACCGGGCCAGCATCGTGAGGTAAATGGATAGTGGTACGATTTTATTGTAGATCTTAAGGGTGGGTTAGTTGGTCAGTAATGTGTTTGATTACCCTGGATGATTGGTAGAAGTCTTTTTCTCTACTTTCAGTGACAGCTCCCTGGATCTAAGTCCCGGGAGTGAGGACCCGGTTGCCACTCAAGTGCTCCTGGGGCCCATGAAACCTTTTGCGATGGACCTGGACCTCGGCTCGAATCGCTCGAGCATCATATCCCAGGAAGAGACTGATGATATTAATATGCCGTAGATTAAAAGACTACCAAGTTGAGCCGATAACACTCTGATGGAATATCCCGTGAAAAATTAACTGGGAAGAGAACAGACATATCGCAATAAACTTAAAGTGATACGTCTTTAAGATTGTGCTGTTAAACTGGCTTTTAAACATTGTTGTCAACTATTAGTGCGTTTTCTTTTTATAATTTTTTACTTTTTAATTTCATACGCACGGTGAAGTTTTAAAATTTATAGTATTTAATTAATGTTGTGGACTTTATGGAATTTAAATTAACATACTTCAGTTGCTCAGTATTGTTTGAAAGTTAGTAAATTAGCTGTTTAGAGAGACACGAAGGATTTCCTGCTGCTGACACTAATCAGACTTTGTGACACGGTGTGTTTATTTGATCCAATTGAAGAAGATAATTTGAGGCTAAATACGTAAATTCAGCTTCTTTTTTGGAAACTATGGAAGATTCAGCTATTTATTGGCTAAAGAAGAATATATGTCACCTGGTGATTGTCAGTGGCCTAATTGAAAAGGGATATTTTTGACAGAGTTTTATTTTTTGCGGGGTATGTTTTTAAAAGGTTGTATTATCACACGAAAGTTATATTTGATGACAGGTTGTTTGTTAGATTTGTCGCTTGATCATAACAACATATACATTTATTTAAGTGTTTTCTGGTTAGGTATATTACTCTAACCAAAACGTCGTTGAGAATTGATTCAATTAATATTGATTAATAACAGCAATTACGTACAAGATCTTAATAGTTCAAATAAGTGCGATTTAGAAATAAAAGGAGATTATTTTTCAGCTACGAGCTATAATCTGCGAGAGTAATGAGTTTGACCTAGATTACTTGATTCACAGTGTGGATTTTTAGAATGAAACGGATGAAAAATTAAATAACATAAATGTTTGTTACAACAGTTAATTTTTGGATGGCTTAAGTGGGTCACCGTCAGTGTGACGAGAATTATTTAACTCATAAACATAAAAGAGAAAGATGGATTAAAAAAAGTTGGACGTTTACCGGAAAATAAGTGGCGAAATGGGTGAGTTAAGTTGTAATAATCAATACTTGATGCTTGAGTTATTATTATTATTATTATTATTATTATTATTATTATTGTTGTAAGTTCTAAGAGAATGTTAAAAAAATTTGTTCGCAAGCAGGTTTGCTCTATACACCCACAACGTGGATTTAAATTTTAACTTCACGACTAAACGATCGATTGACCTTTTCTCTGTATCTCGAGATAGATTTCTCCATTTGAATTATAGAGAAGAAAATCGGACAGATTTCGTCTTTTAATAAGCCAACAAATTCAAAAATTGATCGGACAATTTTTAGACCTCGACTCTGGTAACTGATAATTAAAAAAAAAATAAATCGCAATTTTATGAAACGCAATTAACTATTGATAAACAATTATTGCGTACATTAAATATATTTAAGAGAAAAATGTTTAATTGTAATTACGAGACCACTTGCTGTAATATAAGATAGTTAATTAACGCAACTCGCGTAAAGCCTTTAGAAAGTCCAACGGAATCCCTGAAAATAAAAAAAAATAAATATTGAATCCATATTTCATGAGAATTTATCCGATAACTGATAACAGGTATAATCGACGCAATCGGAAAAGTTAATTATCCGATTGTGCGTCATTGAATGAAAAAATTCTTTATAAATAAAAAAGAAGAATAATCAAATTAATAAACGGAGATTAAAATCAATTATCACGTGTTAAATATAGTTCAATTACTAATTGTATTTTAAGATAAAGATAATGAGAAATATAAAAAAAAAAAAGTTAATTAAAAAATCTAAAACCTCACTTTCTCTGCTCAATGAAAATTGTTTTATTTTTAAAATTCGGTTTTAATTGTTGAATAAAATATAACTATAGTCCTTCCACATTAGATGTATTTTATACACAAATACTGTGTTCAGATGAATGAATTTATTTATGTACAGTGCGATTGTCTCAAGTGTCAATTGATTAAGATCAAAGTGTAATTAATTGATTATTGATTATATTTCTTGTAATAATTGTAATATTGTAACTACTGTCACGCGGTTTAGCATTGTATGTGCTTCATTTAGGCTCTCACGTGTCGGTTAATTATGAATGTTACACAGCGAGACTAAAATGAAAAAAAAACAGGAATAAAAATAATAAATATTTAAATTTTTGTTTATTTTAGACAAAATGGATATATGAATATTTTGTTTTATTTTGAGATAAAATTTAACAATTATTTTTATTTTTCAGTGGTCAATTTCTTGCTCCCTATCACATATAGTGTATTCTACTAAAAAATTATGTAAATAATTGGATCACAGTATGTTCATATTTATTTTTGATGATGGAAAAATTGTACTATTTATGTCAGTTTTGAAATTATAAAACAATTAGTTGTTTAATTTTTACAAATTGAAATTTTAATATGAAATTCAATGATCGATTTGTTAAGCCTTGCATAATTAATTCCCGGGAATCCAATTTTGTGCTGACTAGTAATTCATTTTATCATTATTTTGTGACAGTTCATCAAGATAGATTCTCAACATACAATACTAAATAAAAAAATATAACAAGAAAAAATATCAATAGACCCGTCGATAACATTCGTATGTCAACTGTAATGACAATGATAAAATTAAATTAAATCAAATCTAATAAATTGTGTGTTTTTTTTTTTTTTTACCTCAATATAAAATATTGCATTTTCCAACCAATATTAAATAAAAGTATGTTATGTACGAGCAATAACTTTTTATTGAATATCAGTTAATTTATTGGCATTTCAGAAAATTTAAGTCAATTAAAATAACAAATTTAACTTTAATATCAATTTACTCAATAATTTTTTACCTTTTTTAATTTAATAAGCATGCTAAATTTTTACTGCAATAAAATTTATATTGTCTTTACTTAAAAATAATAATTTTGATGAAACTGATGTAAAATGTTAATTGTATTAATTAAGTCATCAAAAAATAAATAAACAATGCTCCGTTAAAGTGATAATCCTGTTGGACGTTCAAATTGTACCTGTCGTTCTTCAACGACCCGTTTACTTTGTTCACTCATTAACCAAGAGACAAAGTAAAACTCAACAAAAAATTTAAAATTCATGATAGTATAAAAATGTAAATCACCTCCTTGTCACTAATTAATCTTTCACTAGAATAAAGCAAAATAATCAATTTAAATCGGAGCGTTTTTAAACACTGGTTATTTCTATTGTCCAATCATTAAGACGATTTAAACAAAGTATATATATGAAATGAATAAATAAATATATATATTATATATAATGAATAAATAAATTTATGTCTTGTCTAAGATATAAATAATTTAAAAATAACAAAAAACATAAAGGACATAAATTGTCTGGGCCTGCGAATAAGCCCGTGGACTTTAAATTACATAAAAAGAAATAAAAATTCTATCATTGTAATAATTATTATTATTATTATTATTATTATTATTATTATTGATATTGGTCCTCGAACATTATTTTGTATAGAAAAATATCACTTATGAGGATACCTTGTATTACTATTACCGAAAGATATTAAAAATGCATCTTTGGTCTCACCCGGTCCTGTCCGAGTCTTCGTGACGTTTAAAAAGCGCCAGCCCGTAAACCGGAATAAAAAAATAAAAATAAAATGACCGAATAAATAAATAAATAAATAATTAAACAAATAAAAAGGGTTTTTTAATCCGCGCAAATGAACACGAGACTGCCTCCTAGCAATACATATATGTATAAACATTTATGATTATTATTTTTAAAGACTTACGACTGTGAGAATTAAAGAATATTTAAATGTTTCTAATGTTATGTAAATAAGACTATCGAATCAACAAAAAAGAATTAATAAATAAAATATAAAAGTTTTCGTGATTGTATCACGATTCAATGAAAATATTGATGATGTTTGATAATTTATTTTTTTTTTCATGCTTTTTAATTTTAATGTTAATGTTAGTATGTATTGAATGTAAGTTATTGTTTTTTGTTTATTCTCTTTGATAGACACTACATCAGCAGTTCACAATAAAAGAACTAAGAGTATTGATCTAGGTGGGTTCCCATGTCACCCTTTTCGAACTCAGACCTTTTGTTTCTGCGGGTGAGAGGCGGCTGCTTTGTTTTTACTAATTTTGCTGGATTTCTTTCCACTCCGCTTGATATAAAATCATCATCGTCACGAACTAGTAGTGCTGTAGTTGTTGTTGATGCTGATGCTGTAGTATTGTCATTTAATGATTGCTAAAAATAATAATAATTATTATTATTATTATTATTATTTTATATAACAAAAATATCGACTTAGACGACTGAAGAAACAAATAAACCAATTTTTTTTTATCTTCTTTATGCTATTGAAAGAAAAACGGCGAATTAGAGCAAAATGATCTGCTAAAAAAAATCTTGGAATTATTCCAAAAGTTGATATACCAATTTCTGAATTCCATTTATTATTTTTATTTCCAACAACCAAGTTAAAGTTATAGATTATCGAAGCAGACAAACTGAAGTTACAAGAAAAAAACTAGGACGCAGAGAATTTCATCTATATTACAATATTACGTATATTTTATTCTAAAGTATATTGTTGTGTCAAACTTGTGGGTTATAATCATTTAATAACTACAATTAGATCCTACTTTTGAAATATATCGTAATAAAAGGTAAATACAAAAAATTAGAACAAGCTTATTTTAAAAATAATAACACCGTAATTATGAGCGAAGAAAGAAGATTATCTTATAAGTATGCATGTATATAATTTTATGTTAATTTTTTAAAGTATACCAAAAAAAATGATTCTCAAAGAATTTTTTTATGGTTAAAAATACATGCACTAAAATTGTAATTACTACGAAATATCTCTAATTACCTGCATACAGTTAATAAAAAATAAAAAGGCTAAGAGAGCTAAAGCACTCAAAGCAGCTCCACTTCCACCTTTGCCACCTCCTCCATGATGCCTGAAATATAATAAGAATTTACATGAAAAATTAAAATATTATGGACAACAACATGGTACTGAAATCAGTCGAAGAAGTCTTACAACTTTTATTATTTTTATTACAAATCAATTATAAAAAAATAAATTTTTTTAATTTTTTCATGATATTAAAATTAGCAGTCACTTGACCATTTTTTAATTTTTTTTAACAAAAAAAACTTGTACGAAAAAATTATTATTAAAAAAATGCTTTTTTTAATTTTTTTAGATTTCTACAGGTCAATTTTTTTTTGCAATAATTTATTTTTCACCGAAATTCTTAAAATTATTAAATATCTGCTAAATTAATTTTCATGACATTAAAGTTAGCAGTCACTTAACAATTTTTCAATTTTATTTAAAAAAAAAATTTTTCCCAAAAAATCATTTTTAAAAAATTGCATTTTTTAATTTTTAAAATTTTTAAATGTCAATTTTTTTTTAGAATTTTTTTTGCCATCATTTTTTTGTTATAGAATTTTAAAAATTATTATTTAATAATAAATATATTCTAAATTAATTTTCATAATTTTTTCACTCATAATTCTTCAAAATTTCTAAATGTGAAATTTTCTTGTTAAAATTTTTTCCATAATAATTGAATTTTTATAAAAATCCAAAAAATTCGACAGGTGTTTGTTAATTTCAATATCATACACCAACACTTTATAAACAATCTTAAGTTATCATTATCAACAAACAAACTTACCCATGACTGTGACCATGGCTGTGATGTGGATGTTCCCATCCACTTTGCCATCGTTCAAGTGGAACGTAAGGACCCTTGAAGTGTCCCCCTGATCCTCCCCAATTAAACAGAGACTTGAAAGTCATTTAAACAGCAACTAAAATTTAATGACAATAACTCTTACGTAAAAAAAGTTTCACAATATTTACAACTTTTATTCTTTTTTGACGTAACGAAATGTTGATGCCCTCAGGTTTGTCACAAGACTGCAGTTTCATCACTGGTGTAATTCTCTTCACCTAAGGTTACTTTGTTTAGAAGAAAGAAAGATAAATAATTTAACGGCTTATGAAGACTCAAAAACCCGTAAATTTTTCCAGATCCTTGCTCCGGAAAAACGTCCACTAGGTATGTCAGTAGATTTAGTTTAAATTTAAATTGTCATCAACATTTTTAATAATTTCCGTTATCCTTTCGCGGTATTTAATTATTTTTATAGTCTGTTAATACTTTATTTTTTTATGTTTGTCATCTGTAGTAACAGATAGTGTGACATATACATTAGTATTGATTGTTCTGTTTAATATAATGTTATTATATTTAAACAATTTTTTATGATGGTGAATAATGAAGAATTATAAAAATTTTCTGTTAAATTATATGAAAGTAAAGTTAGCCGACAATTTTAATTTTTTGTTTTTTTTTAATAATTAAATTAGAAAAAAAAAAAAACATTTTTTAAAAATTGCACCTACAGTTTTTAAAGTTTTTTACAAGTCAAATTTTTTTTTTATTTTTTTGTAATTATTTTTTCAATAAAAAAAATTCTAAAAATTTTTAAATGTCGGCTAACTTTAGTATCATTAAATTATTTCGAAAAAATGTTTTACTATTATGATTATTTATCATCCTCTGTAATTATTCTAATAATTTATGGGTACAGAGGTTGGTTTTAGTTCTATGAAGATTACTGTTATTATAATTATACTTCTTTTTAAATATTTAACTAATTTTAAATAAAAATTGTAAAAATGACTACTCAAGTTTTATAATTGTAAAAATAACTTGACAACTCAAGTTTTAACGCCTCAAACAGCTAAAATTGACAAACAAAAATTTAAAATTTTTATTTGGCGCCAAAAACTCAAGTGTGGCATATTTTGAAATCCATCCGTGAGATAAATTTTAAAGGTAAAATAAAATAAACATTAAATATGAAATATTGTTTTTTATTGATTACAATCACACTACACGTACATACAACTTAATAACATTCTATTATCTAAAAAAAACTAATTTAAATAATGTCTCGTATTGTGACAATGAAACAATAAAAACAAAATAAATATATACATTTTAACAATTTTGAGTAAACAAAGTTCGTCCTGAGATACTAACTTTTGTAAAAAGAGAGGGCTAATCCTCAATTAAAATTCCATTAATTAGTAATAAAACTAATTAATGACTGCGAATTTTAATCTAAGCCAATTATTTGCCTGTCTACTTCGAAGCCAGCTAATCTCAGCTAATCTTCCTCTCGCAAATAAATAAAAAAATTTATTCTCGGCAGACGTTAAATAATACCACGTGAATAAACTTGCATCATGCATACCACTATAAATATACTCTATTCTTTTTGAAAAAAATATATAGTGCACACAATAAAGTCGATCAAATAAATATAAATAATAATAATATTAATAATAGTTAAGTAATAAATAAAAATTAGCTCGATTCGTCGAAGTTTAGTTAAACTCATTAAAAAAAATACATAAATTAAAGGTTTAGCTAAGCTTCGAAGTTTGCTCAGTCTACGAAAACAAATGATTGAGTAATAATAGTAATTTTAGCGCCACGCGATAATTGTGATTATTGTTTTGTTTTAATAATTAATGAAATAAATTATTAAATTATTATCTAGTGCAATCGGCATTACGAGTATTATTGACCTAATATGATAATGATTGTGGAAGATTCATTCAGACGGCATTACAGTCCATGAAGAGTGTTCTGCAATCTTCCCCGGATCTTCCACGTCTGCCTGCTTCGAAGAGTGCCTCAAAACCGACACCACTTTGTCGTTGAAGAAGATAACTCGTGGCGTATGAACCAAGTTGACAGAAGATCATTGATGTTCCTTGGCTGTCAGCAACACACTCAGCACTCGCTTCGCATAATGCACGCTCAGCACATCCTCTTTGTCCTTCCTCTTCCATTCTGCCGACATTGCTGAAGGATTTCATCGATCTCATGTAACCCTAAAAAATTTTAATCATTGTTTTATTTTACCAAAATAGTTATAGACATAATTTTACAAAAAATTAAATAACTTGACATTTTTTAGATTAAATTTTTAAATTTCTGAATGACTGAAATGCGAACCAATAAAAACTAGTCTTTGACTGATATTACTTTTTTTTTTTAATCTTAATTCGAATAATAAAAAATGTTTTACCTTTAACATTGTGATAGAAGCAACAGCAGCCTCAGACATACCATCACGTTTACCCAATGATCGTGCAGTCAATGAACGATGGGAGAATGATGTCTTTAATGCATCCAATAAGTTCATTACAATGTTTATAAACTGCTTAAAAAAATAAACAAACCCAAAGGTAAATGCATTAATACAAATAAACAGTTGTTTGTAAATAAAAATAATATTATTGTCATTAAAAAAAAAAAAATTATTTCCTATTTCTTAATATAAGTGCGTTTCACAAGTATTTTACAAATATATATATATATATTTAATAACCTAATCCAATATAGTGTAGTTCGGCGAAGATATAAGAGAAAGAAATATGTGATGTGTCTACATCAGAAAAATAGCCACGAAGAGAGTGAAGAAATGTCCGGATGTCACGTGTTAAAAACCACTATTTATCTTGTCAGCTGTACCGTTACCAAGTATATACCCACACCTGTACTTGATGATACAAGGTGCACTTTATTCCGCATCGTGTCAATGTGAAAGCTACCGACATTGCGATTTATAATGCTGACGTTATCACTAGGGAACAAGATACAGTAGTTTATTGTTTATAGCTGTTAGTTTTATTTTTTTAATTTACTAATTCATTCTTCCGTTCTTATGTAAATAACGCAATACAAATTATTACAATTATTTTATAGTAAAAAAATTATTTACATTAATTGATAAAAATTTTGTTTACTTAATTTATAAAAACAAAAATGACTCATATTTTTTAAATGCATTATTTCCTAATTTTGTGATTATGAAACCGAGGAACTAGTTTTGCACATGCGCGGAACAAGTTCAGAATTCGTATCAAGACAAATTAGGATTTCTATTAAAAATTCGACGTTAATTGTTGAAGTATCTTGATTTTTCCGTGTAATAATAATTATTTAAGAAAATTGAACTTTGGATATCAGCAAAATAGTTGATACCCACCTCAGTAGCTTGTTTTGCCATGGTAGCCACCTGATCAGGATGTCTTCCCTGTCCTAGAAACGCACCCAGCACCGCTGTCAATATGCCCTAGACAACCGACACCAGGGAATTTTTTTTCTAAGTGATTGTCAGATATTTATTTACAATAGAGAGACGCTTTTTCCACACAATTAACCTTTTTATTTTCAAACCTTTGTACTAACTATTTATTAATATTAATTGTACAAATGATTTAAGCTTAGATAGAATTAGTAATTGTAATTGTAATTATGTTTACGTAAACTATAATTACGAAATAAATAATATAAATTTCTATGTAAGTTATCAGATTGTTTATATTCATAGAGCTTGAAAGAGAAAATAAATAATAGAAGAGCACATGTCCTGGACAGATTAATGGAAAGTTTTAACGAGCAAGCGTGACAGAAATTATTAAGATAATTTAAAAATAAAAATTAGAATTGAGAGAAAAAGTGTCTCGAGTGTGCCCGAGTTTTCATGTGAAAGCTTTTCTGTCTTTCTACTTAACTATACTAGCTACACATTATTTATATTTACAAAACTAAAAAGCCTTTCAGAGAAGAAAATTATTCTAATGTACAGCAGCTATGATTATCATAAAATAATAATAATTATAGTTATTAAATGACACTGAAATTAGAAGACATCTATCAATTTTTTGTTTTTCAACAATAAAAGAAAAGTTGCTGCTAAATTCAGTCTCATGTTTTTTAATAATGATAATATTAGGACAGATGCTTTCACGAAGAACAAGTGGATAAGTATAATCTACAATTATGTGCATAAATAATTAATTATTTATTTTTTACCTGCATAGGACTGTGGTCAACTTTGTCGATACCGTCTGCTTGTTGGTTTCCACCCAAGATAGCTGTCAATACTCTCAAGCCCATTGTCAGAAGATTTGCCCATGGGCTTGAAGGCGCACCATCATCGATGTCATTCTTGCTTGGTCCGGTGATACTGCCTGTTGGTCCCAGTAACATTTGCATCACCATTCCCAACATATTTGACCATGAAAATCCAGTCCCATTTGTTTCCTAATGAAAAATAATTTTTTTCTGTTAATAAATTTTGAAATAAGTAGTTTCAAGAGCACACTAAAAAAATGCTTACTTGGTTCAATTTCTTAAACCAAGAAAATCATTCTGAAGAGTTCTATCGGCTCAAATTAAGACGAAAATTTTTTTCATCAAATTAAATTTAAATTTTTCTTTTAAATCAAGCTATATTTTTTTTTTTTTAAGTCCAAGCGAAAGTCTTGGTAAAAATTTATAACTATTTTTGGAACAAACTCTTGATAAAGTTGTACTGTTTTTTTGAGAGACGACTTACGGTAATGTGGAGATTCAATTATTGCAAAGTAACAGTTAATAGTTTACCGTACAATTATTTAAGAAAAACTGACTCTTCCGATGTTTCGATTGAAAAGTAACAACTGCATTCAAGATAGTTGAGGTTATTTACGAAGTTTTAAGCAGAACTTGTAAATACAAAATATGAAGTCAGAAAAATAAAGAAAACAGACATTTCATAATTTTTTTAACAAATAAATTATAACTAGTATACGTTGCGCGCGCAAGCGCGCGTGTGAATGTTGGTATGGAGTTATCTATATTTTCATGTTTATGATATATTTGACCAATCACGTTACGAATAGTTTGCTCTTACATGATATATTTTCATATTTTTCATCTAAATTATAAAAGTGGAAAAAATGAATTTCAAAAAAATTTTGTTGTAGAAATTTTGAAAAATTGTGAATGTAAGTTCAAGTACGTATTCTCATATTATTTGATATTATAGTATGTTTGTTTATAAACATTTCAAAGTTTTTTGAATAAACAATCATTCTCACGTGATTTTATCCGGTAAATTTTTCAAAATTTATTTTGTAAGTAAAATACTAATACTCAAATTAGATTTCATGCTTCAAAACTTATTTAAAGTGTTGGTATTTATCAAACAGCAAAAAAAAAAAATAAGTACCTGAAGTTGATTAGAACCAATATCATCAATATCATCAAGAGCGACTTTCTTCATCGCGTTTGGTTTTTCAGCGAATTTCCTTTCATCTCTAGCGTTAACCTGCTGTTGGGCATATTGCTCAGGATGATAAACCGGATGCTGGGGTAATGAAGCAGCTTGGCCCAAGGTGATAGCCACCAAGCAAAGAGCGACGAATTTATTGTACTGCATCCTAAAAGAAATGAAAAACCGAGATTAATTTGAAGTTTCTTCAGCAGACTTTCTCCTCGTCAATGGATCGTGCGTCAATATGACTCACACAAGACATTTAATATGTGTTAGAGGATCCTGTTTGTGGTATCCGTGTCCTACATTATTTTTTAACCACTCGGTATGTGATTAAAGGGGCATTTTTACAGTAAGGTTGATGATTAAGGAATCGACTCGAATCAACACAACACGTTCTTTAAATTTATCATTATTATTATTATTGTTATTATCATGAGTGATGAGAGTAGTCAGAAATCCTTGACCATGAAAGTGGGTCAGCTCGGTTAAGGCCATATGACGGTAAGTTCATAGCGATCACTCGTTAGCCCACTTCCAATCGTGCGGGTACATTGAACTTACTTTATACCGTTACTCATGAATCGGGTCGCGACCTACTGTCGCCTATTTTCTTACAATATTCTATAATTGCACTGATAAATATGTATTGTATGTTTATAAACAATAAACAATAAACAATTAAAATTGATCGCGTTTTCACAAATATTTATTTGGTTAAGCTTCTGTTTAATTACTTTATTTATTAATGGGAGTAATAAAAAAAGGTAAAAAGTAAATAAAATAATATTTAATAGTATAATAAAAGATTATATTTTTTTTTAATAAGTAAACTATTATATTTATTATCAAGAGATACCGATTTTATGATTTAGAAAAATATTTGCTAGTGAATTTTCATTGAAATTAAAAATAAGTTAATGTTTTCACTGTTTTAAATTAAGAAATAAATTTTTATTATTAAAAATATCTAATGTTTGAAATAAAAAAAAAAATTAATTTGAAATAAAAGAAAAATTTTAATGTATTTTAATATCAGGAATAAATTTGACTTTTTTATTGAATAGAATTTTTGAAAAATTTATGAGTATAAAATTTATTAAAAAAAAATTGATAATTTAATAATTTAAATTTATTAAGTTACACTGAAGTTTAATTAATTATTTCTACTTTAGAATTGATTAAAAATTATAAATCTTAAATTAAAAAAAAATTTATTGCATAAAATTGAAGGAAGAAAATGAATTTATGAAATATTTAAAAATCAAAATTTATTTTAAGTAAATGAAACAATTAATGTGTAAAATTAAATAATAATAATTAATATAATTCAGAGAGTAAACATGATTGATAAAAATATATTATTTAAGGAAATTAATAAAAAAAAATTTATTTATGTTGAATTAAAAAAAATATAGGAACGTATTCTCATAATACTAAATAAAATAAAGCAAAGAAATAAAATTAAATTTAAGAAATAAAATTTATGTTATTCAAAGAACAAATTTAACTTGTGATAGTTGAAAAAAAAAAAAAATTACGTATTTTATAAAATTGAGTAAAAATATTAAATTTGAATTATAATAAACAATAAAAGGGTTACACAGTAAAAGGGTTAATAATTATTATTTTTCATAAAGGGTTAATAAAAAATTGCTAAATGTTATTAACAAATAAAAATTTTATTAAAAGGGATGTTAGAAGGAAAAACAAGTACTTACATAGATATTTCCAGGTAGATTACTTTGACACTGACTCTCAGTTCTGAAGATGAAATTCCTTGAGGGGTCTTCTATATAGCCTGCGTGGGGCACCGTGGGGATAAACCGTACGTCCAATGAAGGCCTGACTTTGGTACTATTTTCAATGGAAGTGGCCAATCACTCATGTACCTGTCCATCCTTAGTCGAGCCTTAAAGGTCTACTTAGCTCGATCCAACGTAATTTTATTACTTATTTCTAGTTTTAAGTTATCTTTTTCTTCATTAACAATTAACGATACCGATGATTTTATTTCTCAAACCCAATCAACGGTCATCGATAACCAATAACTGTTACCAATGCTGCTATCAGTAATTTATTCTCGAATTCAATAAATCTGAAACAAACCAACGAAATTTTACTTTTAATAAAATGAAAATATACTTTTAAAATTACTTACTCTCTTCAATAAATTTCCAAGCCAATTACATTTATCTCAAAATAATAAAAGATAATAAAGACAATACGCAGATACTCACCGAGTAGTCTTATGTTCATATTTTTCATGGTCTAAATATTCACTGGACAATTGAATAAAAAAATCTGAAAAATAAATAATAATAAGCAAGTTAATTTGATTCTTTTTTTATCAAGGAATTTATTAAGTACCTACAACATATAATTTTAATTTACATCGTACGGTAAATAATAAATGAGGATTCAATGAATTAGGTGTTGAAAATTACTATACTGCTCTATTGTATTATATTTATTTATGTATTTATATATTTATATGTAATATCCTACCGTTAACTCCCACTGGATTAAATATTGTCTTAATGATACCAAGACAAATTACTGTTCGTGACACATCGTTATTCAGTGTATCCGTTTTGTTATTTTAAGTTATGAGACGTTTGGTCTGAAAAACATAAAAAAATGTGTCGAATTAGTGGCCTAGTTATAAATTATTCCTACCTATTACAATACCTACTTACTTTATTTTTTAACCGAGAAAATAATTAACAAAGCAATGCCATGAAAATAAAATCAAGCAAAAAATAAAACAAAAAATTCGAGATTCTTCCCGATGACTCTCTCCATCTTCTTTACTTGTATTGCTTTACTTTCTTTTCTCTCACCAGTGTAAACAATGTATATAATCGACCATGCGTATAAGGTATTCGAAACTTTTGCATTTAATATTTTATTGTTTTATTATTTATGTTTATATACTTATTGTTTATTTATTGCAAAGTGTTAATTTATTGTGTTTAATATATTAATTCAATAATTTATCGTAGATTTTTTTGTAATACAATTGGTCATTTAAATGTAAAGGTTATGTTTAAAGAAGAAATCAATTTAATGAAAATAAAGTTAGCCGACATTTCAAAATTTTTTATTGAAAAAATTTTAATTAAACAATTAAAAAAAAAAATTCACATGTAAAAAACTTGAAAAATTATGATAAGTGCATTTTTTTAGAAATATCTTTTTAGTTGTAATTTAATTAATAAAAAAAAATAAAAAATTTTTAGACCATTGCTAACTTCAGTGTCATCTCAATTTAAATTAAGGGAAATTTATGACACATCAGAAGACACATTACCGTTTTTACATTTTATTTAACAAATAATTTAGGTTTAGATAATTATTTTAATCATTATTGATGACAATAAAGTTAGCCGACATCTGAAAATTTTAAGAATTTTTTTTTATTGAAAAAATTATTATAAAAAAATTTTTACAAAATGTCATTTGTAAAAAACTTGAAAAACTGTAAGTGCAATTTTTTAAAAAATATTTTTTTGTTCTAATTTTATTATTGAAAAAAATTCAAAAAATTGAAAATGTCGGCTAACTTCATTATTACTCATTCTTGCTATACTTTTTTATAATTCCTACGGACGGAATTTTTTTTGTTATTTATTACTTGAAACAATCCTAAAAATGATCAGATGTCTCTCAATTTTAATATCATGAAAACTTTGTAATTAATTATATTATTTTAAATTCGGCATATTGATTATTATTATTATTTTTTTAACCTGTATAGAATATTTAATTTTATAAAAGTTTGGAGATTTTTTTTAAGAAGTAGCTATAAAATTTAAAAACTACGAGACATAAAACTTGAGATGCATCTTTAATGTTCCAGGAAAAACCTGAATTTAAAAAAATAACTGAAGTCCAGTTAAATAAACTAGCACTGGACACTTTAAAATCAAAACCTGTTGTGTTAAAAATGTTAAATGTAACGGTGGTAAAATATTTCATTTAATTTTTAGGAAATTTCGGGATTTTCTTATGTAACTATTAACTTTTTTTGTGGAATTAATTTATCCATAAATTTTTTAAAATAAAAGCATTCGAATTTCTTGTGGTATCTTTTTACGATAAAAATAAATCTGTATGAAAATTTTTAATTTGTGGTTTTATTTAAGAAATAACGGCGCAAAAAACACAGTTTAGAAAAATTCCACTTCTGGAACCTTAAATTTTTAACATGAGGATTTAAAATAAATTTTTTGTAAATATTTGTTTAGTAAAAAAAATTCTATAAATATTCAAATGTAAATTACTTTTAGAGTCGTAAATTAATTTAAAAAATTCACATAGAATTAGTTTAATTTCAACATTAAATTTCTCCAAAAAATGAAAATCATCAGAAAGGTCTTTAAGAGTTTTTGGTCATAATCGTTGTATTGAAATTACAGAATATAAAAAGTGTATCAAGGAAGTATAATAATTAAACTTGATAAATAAACATAATAAAAATTTCCAAGCATAAAGATAAATTGTGAATGATAAAAAGAGAAAATTGGTCCTTATTAACGCGTGGGTCATGTGTTTAATATAAAATACCGATCATAAAATAACCATTTCCTGTCATTCAACTCCTTACTTCTTGAAAGTCACTACCCTGATGGACAGATCATACAAAGAATGAAAAACATATTCATAGAAGAATTTTCTTCAAAAATTTATACAAAATTTTTGGTCTTTCAAAGGAAATTGAATTTATTAAAAATTATAGAGCATAAGGTTTCCAATAAATATTGTACTAAACAATTTTTCACCCGTCTATTTGTTTAAATATTAGTGGGTGTCAAAATTGAATTAAAATCAGCAGTCAACACTTAAAAGTGTAAGGTCATTTTTTAAACGTAAAATACATCAAAAAATCATTTTTATGAAGAAATAGTTCCGGAAAAATTCATGAAGCATCTTTTATAATTGAATAAAAGATTTTTAGTCAAAAAACTTAAAAAAAAAATATTTTTGTTTATTTTGCAGTATTTTAAATTAATTTTGAAAAAATAAATCTTATTGTCTATAACTTTTGCTCTAATTATCCAACAGCGATCAGACTCATAATAACTATAAGGAAAAAGTATTTATTAATACTTCGATCTTTTATCATGTTAAAAAATAATCAACCCTTCCATATTTATTTCTTTACTTATCATTTGAGCATTAAAAACTCCAAAAGTTAACTAAAATAATTTTTTATGACAAAACTATTATTTTTTCGACCATATGCTGCAGGAATATTTTTATTCATGGATAAATATTTGATGTGGGGACAGGAAAAAAAATTTAAGAAAATAATAAAAGTTTTTTTTTGTTAGAAACAATTTTAGTTAGCGAATGAAAAAAAAGTTTTTTTTGTTTAAAACAACTTTGTGGATAGTTAAATACTTCCTAAAAGTTAATGCAAACGAAAGTTTTAATTTTAGTCTTTTGTTTATCAATAATGAAATAATTAAAGTTAAAAATAAGCAATATATTAGAGAATTTATCACTGAATTACTGAATAATTTCAATATTCAGTGGTTTTCGTCAATTGTTAATAATTTTATTACGAATTCTATTAACTATGTTAGACTTTACTAATCAAGCATTCATTTGTGTTAAATAATTAATGAATTTGTTGCTTTTCATCGAAGATTTAAAAAATATGTCCCTAATTTTATTCGGAATTTTGTTTTTAACTAATTCATTAATGATTTTTATTGATGTAAGTGATAATTGCACTCTTAAAAAGTGCAATTTCATTTCATTTTGAAATAACTATTCTTAGAGATATTTTTTTATAATATTAATAATTTAAACTTATAAAGTAAATGAAATTGATTTAATTCAATTTAATTTAATTTAATTGAAATTTTATTGAAATCTTAATACTCTTTTTACCTATTTTTATTTTTATTTTCTTTTTTCACCCATAACCAAATTTAATTGATGTAAATCTAAAATGTATAAAGCCGATTGGCGTATGAATGAATAAATAAATAAATAAATAATTTTTTGGTGATATTACATCTCACATTAGATATCGCAATAATAAAAAAATTGGTTCTGTTAATAAGTCCATTTTTTGTTATTAACTTTGTTATATAAAATTTGGTAGTAAAATTTTCGAAATTAATAATATTTCAAATAATAAGTATCAAATAACTAATATTGTTTAAATAGAGGTATTAATTAAAAAATGAAATAATATGTTGTAACTTGAAGGTCAGAATGCAAAAGAGCATGTGAATAGTAAATGCCATTGCCATTAAAAATGTATACCCCTTAGAATACTTGATACCGTTAGAGGAATTGATCATCGTACCACTATAATAAATCGAAATAAACACCCTATAAATAACATAATGTATACCTTTATGTAACTAATAATAAATAAAATAATCAATCATCTTGATCTCGAAGATATTATTTATTTCTTATCTTACAATTATTTTTAAAAGGAAAAAATAAATAATCAGACTCTCGGCTGTCCTGATTGCAGCCTTCAGTATCGAGTAAAGCCACAAACTTGCTCAGAAACTATTAGCTAGATCTTGCTAATAAGAAGAGCATCTCACATCCCGCTAGTGGAACAGTTATGATGAATCTCATTCTGAACACCGAGAGCCAAATGAATAAACTCATCTAATGAAAATACCTCAAATATTTTGAAAAAACAAAAGCACTGGACTCTGGACTTGTGGCAGAAAAAGATGAGAGTACTAACCAGGGGAATAACAAGACAAATTATGTAAACCAATGAAGCGATGCAAAGAGACCATAGGAAAAAGTGATAATTTTTTACTAATTCATAAACTTTGGTAAAAACATTATGTTTGTCTTCGAAAACTGAGGATATTTTATTTTAATATGAACACTCCTATGTGTATTGAAGAAATA